CAGATGGTTGTTGATCTCTGGGGGAGGTTGGAGATGTTGATAACCTGACGATGTCCCTGGACCTGGCTTTGTTCCAATTGATCTGGGTCTTTGCTCCAGACCCTCGATTGTTCCCAGCCACGCGGTCAACACCAGACCAGACGAACTTTTTTTTTCTCTCGGCACGCACGGGTGCTCCCTTGACACACCCCTGGTCTTCTGGTTGCCCGGACGACGAGAAATTCCCTGGTCCCCGCTCTAGCCGTATGGGGAAGCCACATGTTCGACGCTGGACGATCCTCACCGTAAACCTTCGCAGAAGCGCCGACACATTGGGCAAATTTGGGTCTGCTATCTGATCACATGAAGGCCTTTGAAAATGCGCAAATTTCCACTGATTGTTGTTGTCAGTACGACGATGCGGTAGCGTTTCGAGACGAGCGACTATCGATGGCCAAGGAGGACTCGAGTTGACATGGATCCCATTCCACGAGACCTGAGGACAGAGGCGAGACATTCATGGACGTACGGTCAGACACCGCCACTTGCTCGACCTCCACGGTGATGCGCTGGCCGATGGAGATGGCGGCGCGAATCTAGCGGCGGTCTCGCGACGACGTGTCTGTTGGGGCTCCGACGATGCATAGGAACTGCGGCGACAGCTGTACAGTGCTTGTCTGTAAGCAGCGCGACAGAGTTCCGACTGCTAGGCGAGAGCCAAATGCCGTTCAATTCAGTTCAGTATGGCCTGGCCTACTCATCTATCAGTGGTGAATATATCACAGGAGTGGCCGTAGACAAAGGGAATGCCTCATTCTTGGCATTGCCGATGTCTAGCTCTGAAAAAAGACGATCCCACGATGGACAGGGCCTCCTACCATAGTTTCGATACTTGCGCTCAGTGAAACGGTTCTCCTAAGAAGCCGTATCTCGTCGACCCCGATTGAGATGTTCCCTCGGCATGCGTAGACGACTTGACGTTCAATCAAAGCCTAGCAGTGACAAAGACACGGCCCTTGAATGAGGCGCCGCTGTCATAGTTCCCGTCTGTCAAACTAGTTTGCAAGTTAGGATACGCCATACCGCAGCCTTGTCTGAGGCCAAAGTTTAGACCTCTTTGTCTTTGTTAGCAGAGCTGTCAGCCCTTAAACCTCTTGAAGCTCGGTCAGCATCAGCTTGTCAGCTTTAGTAGACACTGGGTGACTGGCCACCGAGCTATGGAGCTTGAAGTGTGGCGCCTAGTTCGGTCTGCGTCATAGAGTCTGGAAAGGCAGACGTGAGATCTGAGTCAACAAAGTCATAGAATTGATGCAAACCATGCAAAAAAATCATCAGTATTTAGTGAATTGCATTGGCACTCGTATCATTGCAAGCCTCGGTGCCCATCAAAGGGCATCAAAGGAGAAAGCATTGGAGGCACGTGACGTCATTGTGGCGTTCAATCTTGCAAAGGCGGCTCTTCAGCCACAGTTGCCCCGCGATTATTCAATCACCTCAGAATCTGCCCCTCGCCGCCCACGATCGCCGCAGTCGGCACACTTCTACACCGAAAGCTGCCGCGAAACACCCGGCGCAAACCTTCTACTACTCTGATATAGACTGCCTGAGACCATACAACCGTGATCATGAAGCAACGGTTCTCCTCCATCGACGTCAAGGTAATCGCCCATGAGCTCCAGGAGAACCTGGTCAGCTTGCGCCTGGCCAACGTCTACGATCTCTCCTCCAAGATCCTACTGCTCAAGTTCGCCAAGCCGGACAACAAGAAGCAGCTCATAATCGATTCGGGTTTCCGATGCCACCTCACAGACTTTACGCGCACGACCGCCGCGGCGCCCTCTGCCTTCGTCACGCGATTGCGCAAGTTTCTCAAGACGAGGCGTTTGACGAAGGTCTCCCAGATCGGAACCGACAGAATTCTAGAGTTCCAGTTCAGCGATGGCCAGTACCGTCTTTTCCTCGAGTTCTTTGCTGTAAGTCACCACCACCACCACCAATGTTGCTTTAACATTGCTGATTACTAATTGCGCGCAGAGCGGGAACGTGATCTTGACGGACGCCGATCTCAAGATTCTTACACTACTGCGAAACGTCTCCGAGGGCGAAGGCCAGGAACCTCAAAGGGTTGGACTAGAATACTCGCTCGATAACCGACAAAATTTCAACGGCGTCCCCGACCTCACAAAGGAGAGAATACGAGATGCGCTGAAGGCCTCGGTCGAGAAGAGCGCCGCGGCTGCTGCGGCAGGCAAGAAGAGCAAGTCGAAGCCAGGAGATGAGTTGAGAAGAAGTTTGGCTACGACAATCACCGAGCTGCCTCCAATCTTGGTGGACCACTCCTTCAAAACCACCGGCTTTGACGGTAGCAAGAAGCCAGCTGAGATTCTGGACAATGAGACCCTGCTGGACGATCTTCTGGTCGCCCTGACAGAGGCACGTAGCATAGTCAAGGACGCCACCAGCTCTGCTACTGCTAAGGGCTACATATTTGCGAAGTATAGGAACCAACCGGACGCGACACCGGCAGAGGAGGGGCAAACGAAGAGATCAGACCTCCTTTACGAAGATTTCCATCCTTTCCTACCAAACAAGTTTGCGAACGACCCCACGATCAAAGTCCTCGAGTTTGACGGCTTCAACAAGACCGTTGATGAATTCTTCTCGTCCTTGGAGGGCCAGAAGCTTGAGTCGAAACTTTCAGAACGAGAGGCGGCAGCCAAAAGGAAGCTTGAGGCGGCACGGAATGATCAGGCAAAGCGCATTGAGGGCCTTCAGGAGGTGCAGTCACTCAATGTACAGAAGGCTACGGCTATCGAGGCGAATGTGGAACGTGTGCAAGAGGCGATGGACGCCGTCAATGGCCTACTTCAACAAGGTATGGACTGGATTGACATCAGCAAGCTTATCGAGCGCGAACAGAAGCGCGGCAACCCCGTTGCCGAGATAATCAAGCTACCCCTGAACCTCGCAGACAACACCATTACTTTGTTGCTTGGCGAGGAGGAGGATATTGAGGACGAAGATTCCAACTACGAGACCGACTCGGATGCATCGGACAGCGAAGATGAGGCAGCGAACAATAAGCAGAAAACAGCAAAGCATTTGGAGGTGGATGTTAACATTGGATTGACGCCTTACGCCAACGCAAGAGAGTACTATGAGCAGAAGCGGTCTGCTGCCAAGAAAGAGGAGAAGACAGTCCAGCAGACCGAGATTGCGCTCAAGAACGCCGAACAAAAGATCCAGGCCGAGTTGAGAAAGGGCTTGAAGCAGGAGAAAGCAGTTCTCGCACCGATCCGCAAGCAAATTTGGTTCGAGAAATTTATCTGGTTCATTTCAACCGACGGTTATCTGGTTCTTGGTGGCAAAGACGCCCAGCAGAACGAAATGTTGTACAAGCGCTATCTTCGCAAGGGCGACGTTTACATTCACGCAGACATTCATGGCGCCGCGACTGTCATAATCAAGAACACCCCTAGCGACCCTGATGCCCCTATCCCTCCTTCGACTCTGGCGCAGGCTGGCACTTTGGCCGTCTGCAGCTCGAGTGCTTGGGATTCCAAGGCAGGAATGGGTGCCTGGTGGGTGAAAGCTGACCAGGTGTCCAAGTCTGCCCCGACTGGAGAGTATCTTCCCACCGGAAGTTTCTTGGTTCGTGGCCAGAAGAACTTTTTGCCACCGGCGCAATTATTACTGGGCTTTGGTATCATGTGGAAGATCAGCGAAGAGAGCAAGGCTAGACACGTGAAGCACAGGCTGTATGACGGCTTCGCTACTCCGGCGTCCGCGCCAGATGGAGCTGACGCTACGGGAGATGTTGGAACCAAGGACGACGAAATCGACGACGCGTCTGACATCGGATCTGGTGACGAGGAGGATGACGAGAAGCCTCGTGACAACCCTCTTCAGGGCTTCAGGCAGAACGGGCAAGATGACTCAGAGGAAAAGCTTGCAACTGAAGAGTCAGCCTCTGGCGCTGATGCAGCTGAGCCTCCAGTCGAGCCTCCAGTCGATGAAGTTGAGCAGTTGATGCTTGACGAAGACAAGGCCGCTGAAGCTCGAGTAAAGGAAGCTGCCAAGACATCAGAAGAAGAGGAGGAAGAAGATGGTACAGATGAGGGTGCCACTGGAGCTTCTACCCCAGCCGAGGCTGCTGTGCCCGGCCCTCAAACAAGCACGGCAGCCGGCGACAAGGCGCGACCTGCCAAGCGAGGTCAGAAGGGTAAGGCGAAAAAGATTGCCGCCAAGTACAAGGACCAAGACGAGGATGACAGGGCTATTGCCGAGGCCTTGTATGGTTCTGCTCGTGGCAAGCAAAGAGCCGAAGCCGAAGCGCAGCTGAAGGCCCAGAAAGAGGCGGAGCTGGCTGCTCAGAAGGAACGACGCCGCGCGCAGCACCAGCGGCAGCAGAAAGAGATTGCTGAGCACGAAGAGGTCCGTCGTCTGATGAACGAAGAGGGTATCGAGGTGCTCGACGCCGAGGAGATGGGTAAAATGACTCTGCTGGACAATCTCGTCGGCACACCTCTGCCAGGGGACGAGATTCTCGAGGCCATCCCCGTCTGTGCGCCGTGGAATGCTATGGGCAAGTTCAAGTACAAGGCGAAGCTCCAACCGGGTGCGGTGAAGAAGGGCAAAGCTGTCAAGGAAGTGTTTGAGACGTGGAAGGCAGTGTCTGCTAAGAAGGGTGTTCTTGATGAGCGTTCGCAGGACAGCGAGAAGATGTGGCCGAGGGAAGTTGAGTTGATCAAGGCGCTCAAGCCTGAGGAGGCTTTCAACTGCGTTCCCGTTGGCAAGGTGAGGGTGATGATGGCTGGTGGTAGCAGTGGCGCCGGCGGTGCCAAGGGCCAGCAGGGCAAGGGCGGTCGTGGTGGAAAGGGGTCTAAGAAGAAGTAGGAGAGCCTCGAAGGCGAAGTTAGGCATGCGTTCTATTATACCTATATTAGATGCCTGAATAAGCAGCGATGGTCCGCTCGCTTCTAATCATGCTGTGTCTTTGCCACTTCCCATGCTCGTGGTTCCTAATTCTTCTTTGCCATCGCGAATGCTCTCAAAATGTCAGCCTTCTGATGCTCCGAAGTCCAGTCGAGTTGGAACTTCCCAGAGCGATCCGCTTGCACCTCCGCCTCCGTAGCCCAAACAAAAGCCTCGTGCTCCTCGGGATCAATCACGATCTTGGCCTCGCCCTCGCCGTCCGTCTCAACCTCGACGAGATACGTAAACTTCCTCCACGCGTCGCGACCCTTGGCCGCCTCCGGCGACCTCTCGCCCTCACCGCCCGTCTGCACCGACGGCACCTCCACCGGCTTGCCGCGGATCCCGACGCCGCCGCCGGGCAGCGCGAACCCTTGCTCCCCGGGCCCGACGGGGGCGTCGAGGCTGGGCCCGAAGCCGGCCCACTCGTAGCTGCCCACGAGGCCGAGCACGGTCTTGGCGCGCAGGCCCGTCTCCTCCCACAGCTCGCGGGTGGTGGAGGCGACGAGGTTGCCGTCGACGGCCTCGGCGGCGCCGCCGGGGAGTTCCCACTTGTGCGGGAGGGCCTTTTCGAGGGCGCTGCGCTGGAGGACGAGGACCTTTGGCGGGGTGGCGGCGAGTTTGAGGACGGCGGCGCCAACGGCCAGGCGGTGCGTGACTAGGGTGCGCGGGTCCGTGTCTGTGGTTGACGGGAGCGGGTGATAGGGGACGAGGTAGCGGTTTAGTTTGGGGAGGGTGGTGTAGGCGAGGGGAGGGTTTGGCGGTGGTGGTGGCATTTTGGATTTGAAGGACTGAGGCGTCGCTGAGAATGCGCGGGAGATGGTGGTGGTAGGACGAGTGAGGGGGAGGAGGAGGGTGCGGAGGCGTGAGGGATGCATTTGTAGATATATGCTGCCTGCACCCTTTATCGTGTCTGCTTTGGGTTGGGTGTATGTGTGTGTTGTTTGGTAGGTGCCTGTTTGTGGCTTTTGAGCGGTGCCTGGTTGGTTGCGTAAGTGAGGTATGACGCTCTGTTTTTTGTGGTTGCGGTGTCGCGGTCGGGGGAGATTGACGCCGTCTCCGAGCGCGGAGGCCGACGACGTAGTTGCCGATGTGGGGTCGTATTTTCGGGTCCGGTGCGGAGTGAACTGGGATGTTTCCCCGTGTCGGTGGGCTTTGATGCAAGCTTGGACGTAGTTTTCTTCTCGATTGTGGACGGGTTCTGACGGCTTAAACTTAGCGACCTTATTTTGTGGTATGCATTGAGCTTGATAACCTCTCCTATTCTCTAGCTCATCTGTGATTACTATTCCTCTCCGAGATGTCTGCACGTACCCTGGTCGATGAGGCTCATCTAGCCGTTGAACCGCGTTGCTTGCTCTTGTTCAACAAACACAGGCCCCGCTTGAAGTTCGGTGACCCGCCTGCTGTAACCTGCTCGCTTCCAACGGGAACCGCGAGCCCGAAATCTCGCTTAGGCTGCTGCCCTACGTAGCCAGTCCAAGCTTTTAAACTTACCATGCGTTGCTCCTGCTTCTTTAACCAGATTTCCAAGTGAGGGCAACACAATGAGTTTGATATACATGCGAGGTTGAGTAGTACGTGTACTCATTGGTAGCTTGCTCAGTACCTAGGCAAGGGCGTGGTTGTTGAAAGGGGCCCTTTTGGTCATCGTTGTCTTCATCATCGTCTTCATCATCGTCTTCTTCGTCGTCTTCTTCGTCGTCTTCTACGTCGTCTTCTTCGTCTTCGTCTTCGATCTCTTCGTCTTGTTCGAGGGTCTTGGTAACTGCGTACAACATAATGCTTCGCAAGGAATCTGCAAAGTGCTGTTGAATGAAGGTCGCAATGACTCCATTGCCCAACACCTGCAAATACTTGTCAGGCCCACCACAATCGAGTTGAACGAACATGTCTGCCAATAACTGATGGCAAACAACTCTTATAATAGGCACATGACAGCTGCTGACTATGACCAAGACAATGCTCAACCAGAAGCAGGAGTTGCGGTCGCGCTTGCGCTTTTTTAACTATCTGATTTGACGCTCGAAGCAGAGCCAGCAAACCGATGATATACCGCCGAGGTAGAAACCCGGGACCACGACATACGTCAATGAACGCCAAAACAGAAGAGACTCATTGTGGCATAATGTAAGTGTGTCAGCAGAGGGGCCAGGTGCAGATAACTTGCCGTGGGCACGAGGTTTAAACAGGCTATGACTTCGGCGAGCACTGCCATCTGGACCGAGTTCCACGCTAACAACAGACTTGTCACGGACGCTTCAACGACTAGATATGTTGACACACTTGAGCTTGAACACAGCTACCCACAAGAGAGCAACTGGTCCTCCCATTAGATCTGAAATCCGGGATATCGAGAGCGCATGCAACGGCAAGGTCCATTCCAGTCCGTCGATGAACAAGGGCACAGGAAGAATGAAGATGTAGGGCAATGAAAGCGGGTTCCGAGGGTGTGTCGACATGTAATTAGAGTACTTTCGCCGCACGTCTTCGGGAATGGCGACTAAGACGTCCATGTTGATGGTGTGCTCGATCAGAGTGATAAGCAAGGTGTTGTGAAATAAGAAAGCGTGACGCCGGTTTGAGTAGTTTCGATAGTAATACTGGGGACTAGAGTCTTTCGTTTGCACAGCACCGGCGTGGGAACAACGAGATATTTACTTGCACCAACGCCTTCTTCTCCGGAACCTTCGTGATGGACTGGCTTACACGAGACGAACAGTAAAGGTCGTCGTGAAAGAGAAATTGGGCCGTGAGCGTGGATGGCAAGTCGGAGGAATATGGCCACCCTTTGATCCTATTACTGAGCGATGCTAATAGAATTAGATTTGCGTCAAGAATTGAATTTGAATTGTATTGTTCATCTGAATGTATCGGATCTTTTCGCTGTGAGGACAATCTTGAGAAAAACGGTACTGGCTCTTATTTCTTGACATGTCTTTGAATCTTCAGCGGGCTTTGGTTACAGAAATTTCTGCAAGGAGACCACGTTCCAGGCTATTCGCTTCTGGCGGTAATGGAGTTTGTCTTCAATAAAGCATTTACCAAAGTTGGAAGGTGCCGCATCCGGTATGCCTTTCGCGGGTATGTCATCAGTTCCACCAGTTCCACCGGTTCCCTGGTCCACGACCGGGGAGACAGGCAGCAGGGCCGGGAATACGTCGATGTGTAGGAGAAGATTGTCCGTCCTGTTCACCTGTGCGATTGTTACCCATGCAGAGAGTCTCTCATTCGCCGCCGTAGTTTCCTCGCTCCATAGAATTATTCGAAAGAGGAAAGACTCTCACGGCGCATATGCGGGTTTTCGTTTGTCGGTTGCTGCAAACCCCTGTTGAAGAAGAGGGGTTGCAGTCAGGATGTTGGTGCGGCCACAACAAGGATGAGTGTCCCTCCAGACCTCGGCCGGGTCTCGACTTTGAATTTTCCCATAAATTCTGTGTGACTCTCCGGAAGGTCTCTCTTGGAGTTGTGTATTAGACCAGTGGGATCTTTTCTCAAAACCTATCCTTGAACAAACATGGCTGAAGCGGACCAGGAAGTGCAGATCGCAGCTGCTGGTGATGAGGTAAGTCTAATTATCAGTCGAGGCTCAGACTTGATGCTAACTAGGACCAGGCTACAGATGACGGACTATCGGAAATCTCAGTAAGAAGCCTTTGGGATGCCAAACAAATGCGACTCGATGCGGATGGACTCAAGACTAATGTGCTTTGCAATCACCCAGGCGGTCGCATCATCAAGAACCAGTGTTAGCAGCTCTCTTCTCGAACACCGCATTGAGAATGGCAGAACCTACCATCGGTACAAAGACGGCAGTGAGACAGCCCATAACTGCGGGTAGTGAACTTGGATTAATCAATCTCAGAATACTCTTGGCCCAACGACGAAAGGGAAGCCGAGAGATTAGGTATTGTCAGCGTGTCCTTAATCGATGCGATGTTCTCACACACGGGCAGATATGTTGCACGAGATCTGGATCTATACGCTGGATGATAGACTCGGCCTGGCTCCCCCTTGCGATCCCAACGCTAAAGTCGGAAGAGTCCTCGATGTTGGTACAGGAACAGGGATCTGGGCTCTTGATTTCGGAGAGGAACATCCCGAGACTGAGGTTAGTCGCCCTGATGACAAGCTTGTGATGTTTCTTCTTTGGGAGACTTGGCCAACTCACCTGATGTCTAAACAGGTTCTCGGAGTAGATCTCTCTCATACTTTGCCGACTTTGTGAGAAACAGTTCTTTCCCCATCACAGTCTTTCAGAGCATACCTTACTAATAACATGCTATCCTTAGTACACTCCCTAACGTCGCATTCGAGATCGATGACCTAGAGGAGGATTGGACCTACTCGAAGCCTTTCGACTACATCCACAGTCGATTGCTGACCTCAGCCGTCAGCGACTGGAAGATATACCTTACCAAGTGCTTTGAGTAAGCATCATGCTCACAGTGCAAGTTATATAATCTTCACAACTGATAATGAGCGCAGAAACCTGACACCAGGCGGCTGGCTAGAGCTTCAGGAAGCAGACGTTTGGCCCTTCTCCGATGATAACACGTTCCCCAAAGACAGCGCGTTCGCTAGGATGGCAATCTTGCTCAAGGAAGCGGCTGCGAAGATGGGACGCCCCTGGTTTGACCTACCGTCCCTGAAGACTATGATGCTTGAGGTTGGCTTCGTGGACGTTAGATTGAAACTCCACAAGTGGCCAATCAACGACTGGCCTAAGGATCAGCGATACAAAAACATCGGCACATGGACGTACGATAACGTCACTAACGGTTTGGAGGCTATGGTAATGGCGCCTTACACCCGCGCCCTCGAATGGACGCGTAGCGAGGTCAATATCTTCCTCATCGATGTGCGCAAGGATCTGAAGAACAGACACTTCCACGCTTACTACCCGGTGTAAGTTCATTATTGATGTTGGCTTTTGGATCATTCCTGTGAAACATACTGATGGTTTGTAGCTATGTCATCACTGGGCGTAAGCCTGAGAAGGAAGCCACGCCCGCCCATCCCACCGCTGCAGCAGCGACAGAGCCTGCAACGGCCACACAGTAATTCGGCAATACATGATGCATATGTCTTCTTTCCTGGTTCACAAGGTGAGCCACTGATTTGAGTTACGGATACGATTCATTGGAACAAGTTGGAACGCATCATGACAGGATCTGGGCACCTCAACGTCGATGAGAATTTTGGAACCTCCTCTTTCCGTAGGAGACAAGATATGATAAACCATGATTTCGATGCCAGCCAGACATTTCGGGACTTCTCCGGGTGCAAGTTATGAGTCTGCCCAGAGACACGGCTCCCGGTACCCAGCATCATACCAAATGTAGATGGCAAGTCGGAGAAAGATGGCTACCCTTTGCTATTGCCACAACGCTGGAGCTTTGTCAGCATTCCACACGGCGAAGTTAACTCGAATGGCTGATGGGTGAAAATGTTGACAAGAAGTCCCACGGAAAGAGTCTTGAACGTGATGTGATATACGGTTGCCATGTACAACTTTTGCATGTCTTGGGGTGCTTGCGACTTCGTCTTCGGGGGTACCAGGAATGTCGAAAGATTTAGTTCTAGGTCAGTTGGTCAGAGCACGTCACAAGGTGAAGTTCCAATGGCCCGTGCGCAGCGCATGACTAAGCAAGAGCTGCCCCTGCGCAGGAGCCTCCGTTCTGGCGTCTCCATTGTGGTCTGTAGACTCAGTTTACCCGCTTCAACCGCATGCCGAATTCACAGGTCGCATTGCTATGGCACCCGAAACAAGCATGACCAGCAAGCTTATTCGGCATTTCGATGTTGTTTGCTCGCTTGGAGGTAGACTCCCGCCGACTTGGAGCTCAGCTGAGAGCTAGGCGACGCTAAAGCCAGAAGCGACAGCGAACGGGCTCGACGGTCTGGATTTTGCAATGAAGGCTTGTTTTAGCCTCAGGATGAAGCAGCGAAGCGAACCAGCCGGCTGGACCCCACGCCGGTAGCAACCGCGACTGACTCTCCTCCTGTCAGGTCTGACTTGCGCAGCAGCTTGGTCGGGGCCAGGCATGCCAGACTCCGCGGTCCATCTGGAGCTGTCCCACAAAGTGACCAAGCTGTCATGCCGACTTTTCTGACTGATGACAGGTCGGTCGAGATACTTTCCACGTTAAATCAAAGCATAAAATCTGTGGTCGATAGTCTGGGCTGAGGCCGAGAGCCTGAAAACACACAGGCCGGCCCGACGATCAGGGTCCAAAGGAGGGGCATCCCCACGAACCCCTCGTGGCAATCCCGCCAGTATGGAGTTTGGCAAGCCATCTTCTCGTCCATGCCGACTCATCCCTATCGTCTCTATGAACAACAACCCGATTTGCTCTCATTGTCTCCTGACGCCAAGCGGCGGCCCCTTCCAGCTCGCTCAACGCGGGACGGTGCCCAGCGCCATTATTTCTTTTCTTGGCAATGTTTCCTTCATCTACCTCGCTATGGCTGCGGGAAACCCTCTGAGGCTATTTGCAAGCTAAGTGGTAGCCAAGTTAGCTTGTCACGATCTTGCCAGTCATTGGATGCCACCCGGGCCATCACCGGAGAGCTGTTGGCCAGCCACATGGCGGTTTACCCCTGGCTAAATCTACTTTGGACACTTTACTGCTTTGGACTCGGATGGGTTTCCGGAATTGACATCGTCCTGTAACTTCTCTTTCCGAATAGCGATGGTTCCCTCCAGCTGGCTAAGAATTCTAACTCGGATCGCCTAAGCTCTGTGGGATGGGCCGCGTCAGAAGTAGTCTCGAGGCGTCGTTCTCAAGTGGAAACGCGGAAAAGGGTGGAAGCTGGATTCAGAAGTCAAGAAGCTAGAATACAGGCCGTGGAGAACATTTCAATCGCTACTAAAGAGAAGCGGAACCCATGCTGGATAGTAGGAGACAGACTTGCCATCCCACTGCCCATCCGGCCTTTCATTCTTTACACTGCGGTTTCCGCACTTACACTCTTTCCCCGAGCTCATCGTGAAAGATGGCTAAATCCACTCATTTTTTTGCTCTGGGCTCTGCGGTCTTGCTAGCATCGCAAGCCCAGACTGTCATATCTGTCCCATTCAATGGCCCACGAGCCGTCTCGCTGCCTGCACGACATGGCTACACGTACCAAGGATGGTGAGCTTTAGCCCTCCACTATCTAGAAGAAGATGCCTAACTCTGTGAAGTTATATGGAACCCTTGAATGGACGTGCTCTTGAGACTGTCACTGGTAGCGACGGCTTGACGCTGGGAGCATGTGCCGACATCTGTGCTGCGGCTGGCAAGGCATACTTTGGTGCTGAGTATGGAAGAGAATGCTGGCAAGTGAGCCCCTGAAGGGTCTTTTGCCTACGACTCTAACAAACCACAGGTGTGGAAGCAAGCTGTCTGCTGCCGCTACCCTTGCCGCGGATGATACCGAGTGCTCGTTCGCCTGCCCTGGCAACGAATTTCAGAAATGTGGTGCTGGGAACAGACTCAGCGTTTACAAGAACGAGAACATTGTGACTCCTGCCGGCCCTTCTGCAAAGGCCAAGGCGGGAAGCTATGTTTCTGCGGGATGTTACAGTGATCTTGTTCAGGGCCAACGTGCCTTGTCCAGAACGCGTGCTGATGATGCCATGACACCTGATATGTGTGCCACATTCTGTGCCGGCAGTGCGTGGATGGGCGTTGAATACGGTAAGCAGTCCTAGCGGACAACTACATTTCAACTTCTGACCTGAGATTGCATAGGAAAGGAATGTTGGTGTGGCAGTGTGCTTGACTCGCTGAGTCTGCCAGCCACTCAGCAAACAGACTGCAACATGGCTTGCGCAGGAGACTCTAACAGCCTCTGCGGTGGCCCAGCTCGATTGAACATGTATACATTGGACACCGCCAATGGAGTCTCCAGCGCAAATTCAGCTCCTCCAGTTGCCCCCAGCGCAGCCAGTACGGCTGCCGATCGCGTGGGCGACTTCATCCACCTCGGATGCTGGACCGACGATGCCGCCAACGGCAGAACGTTTGGCGACCTCTATGCTTCCGACGACATGACCGTCAAGAAGTGCGCAGACTGGGCTATATCAAAGGGATACCTCAACTTTGGAATCGAGTACTCGCGTGAGTGCTGGGCGGGCAACACCGTGAACCCGCTTGCTACGTCTGCAGGGCCTTCGACCTGCAACATGAAGTGCATGGGCGACGCCACTGAGAGTTGTGGAGGACCCAACCGTTTGGATATGTACAAGTATAGCCCAGCGCCGTCATCGACTTCTTCTGCCGGCGCATCCTCGACATCCTCGACTGTTTCTGGATCCTCCACCTCGTCGACTTTGCCTTCAGCCAACTCTGCTCCCAATGATGCTACATTGCCCCACGCTGTCAGCGCCTCACTAGCTGGAGCCACCATTGGCGACAACTCTCAGCTTCAAACCGTTGATGGGAAGACTGTAGTGTAAGTTTTCCCCAGAGATATGTGCTGAAGAAATTCTAATGGAAGCCACAGTGATCTTACACCACCAGACAATGGCCAGGCCTCTGTCACATTCGCCGCCGCTTCTGCTCCTGACCTGCAGAGTGAAGACTCCGTTGTGGTACAGTTGACTTACAAGACTGAGGCTTTGAAGAAGCGAGCGTCGAAGCGAGCTGTGCTGTCAGAGTGTACCTTGACTATGATGATTGGAAGCACCGTCATCTACTCGAGCAGGATCTGGACAACGGATGGAAGCTACACCACGGTGACCAGCATGCCTACTAGCGCCGGTATCACGACCTTGATTATCGTTCAGTACTGCCCTGACACTGCAGTACCCATCGTCATTGGAGATGTTGCTGTTGCACGAGCTCCGTCATCGAGCTCTGCCTCCAGCAGCTCGACTGTCATTGTCTCATCAACCGTGGTGACCATCCAAGCAACACCTTCAACAACAAGCACCAGCTCTTCTCGGCTCTCAAGCACAACAAGCAATGCTGGTTGGGCAACGTATATCCCACCTGCCACAACAAACGCTCCATCGACGACCGCTGCTCCGGCTGCGACAAACGTGGCCGCCAACGTACCTACGTACCTCGCGGGGGTGTACCAGGCTGGGACATGCAGAAGCCCTGGATACATGTCGACTTGCACAATGTCTGGGATGCCTGTAGCGACCATCGACATCGTCGGAAGAGCCACTGCATCTCCTGTGCCTGCCTCGGGCAACATGCAGCAAGCGTACGAGCAGTGCGCCGGCATCTGCGCCAACCTCGACTCGTGCAACTCCTGGGCACTGGATCGCGGCGTCGGCGTGTACCCCGATGCCACAGCCTCCACATGGTGGTGCTACTTCTACTCGGGCCAGGTTGGAAAGTACCATCCCAACGCTTACAACGCTCAGTTCGCCACCGTCGTCTACTTTGCAAAGACTTGCTACAGCTGCCAGCAACGAGATCTGGCTGCCCTTGCTCCTGCGCCTGCGGCGGCAACTACGTCCACAACATCATCGTCTTCTACGAGTGTACCCGCCGTGACACAAGCTCCGGTCATCCCCGGTGTTCTAACCTTTTCTGCACCGGCTTATGATTCTGCTGCTTGCACGTTCGGAACGCCGCCAGACTGCTATCTGTCCGGTGCTCCTGTAGCAACATCCGGCCTCCTTGCGGTCGCGACGGGCATTACAGGATTTGTTAGCTCGGAGGGGCCGTTCAAGCAGTGTGCCCAAGCTTGCAAACAGGTGTCTGGCTGCACAGCGTACGCTCTTGATCAAGGCACGTCGATGATTTGTTACATCTATGGCGGCAACGCGCGAGACTATTGGACAGCATTTGACAACAACTATCGTTCAGTTGCGTATTTCTCGGCGGGATGTTACAATTGCAAGGCTGCCTCAACGTCCACCCTGCCCTTAGTAAGCTCAACGACGATACGGCCATCTTCCACTTCATCACTTGTTTCGACTACCAGCACCTCAGTCCTAACCGCAGCATCATCGCCTCCGTCGAGCTCCCAGCCTCAAGTCACACCTAGCTCCACAAAGGCCGTCCGGCCAGGCGCCATCACCCCATTCTCATGGATCCTGACTCTCGCCGTGCCGACCACGGTGACGGAGACCAACTGCCCCCGACCGACGGCTGACAACTGGTACACTGCCGGA